TTTCCTTCTGACTCATTTCACTGAGCATAATCCCTTCCAGCTCCAATCATGTTTCTGTGAATGGCTGAGTTTATCTTTTTTGATTGCAGAATAGTATTCTATTGTGTATATATACACCACATCTTTTTGATCCAGTCATGTATTTTTGGTCTTTTGGATTGTTTCCGTAGCTTACCTATTATAAATAGTGCTGCAATAAACATAGGCATGCAGGTTTTCTTTTGAATTAATGTTTTTGTGTCCTTAGGGTAGATTCCTAGGAGTGGAATTGCCAGGTCATATGGTAGCTCCATTTTTTTGTAGTTTGAGGAACCTCCACACAATTTTCTATAGTGTTTGGACCAGTTTGCATTCCCACTAGCAGTGTAGGAGAGTTTCTTTTTCTTCACATCCTTGCCAACAGTTGTTGTTAGTTTCTTTAAATATGTGCCATTCTCACTGGTGTAATCTGGTATCTCATTGTGGTTTTGATTTGCATTTCCCTGATTATAAGTGATGTTAAACATTTCTTCATATACCTGTTGTCCATTTGCATTTCCTCTTTGGAGAAGTGTCTTTTTTGCTCTTCTGCCCATTTTTTGACTGGCTTATTTACTTAGTTTTTGTTGAGTCGTGTGAGTTCTTTGTAGATCTTCGTGATCAGTCCTTTGATAAGGAATGATTCTTTTTTTAAAGATTTATTTATTTATGCATACAAGAACTGGGGTGTAAGCCAGAGGTGCAGCGGGGGTGTGTGTGTGAGAGAGGATTCACCAGAGAAAGGGGGGAACAGAACAGGCAGATGCACTGAAATACACTGCTGAGGGGAGTAGAGGACAAGACAGGAGAGGTCTGCTGAGCCATGTGGGTTGCTCCCTGGGGATCAAACCCATGCTGTAGTGGCTGGCAGTAGCTTGATAGCACTTTCTTTAACCCCTGTGGCACCAGGGAGGCCTGATAAGGAATGATTCTTAGGAAGCATTTTACATGGAAAAAAAGAAAGCTAAGGTTCCATATAAGGATAAAAAAGAATACATACAAGTATAGTCATAAAAGTGTAACCATAGCACATCCTCAGAAGATTCCATGAGAACTAGTAAAAATGGCTACTGCCATTGAGAAAGCTGAGTACTTGGGGGATATAGGTGGGATATTTTGAAATTTGAATCATATTTATGCATTTCTTATTCAGAAAATAGAATTTAGAATATACCATTAAAATGGAAATAATATTAACGCCTTCTTCATAGATTTGAAGATAATTTTAGATGATCCATGGAATATATATAGTAAAGGTTCCCGAAGTTTCTTGGTTCATTATGTCCTTAGGGTCTCAGTAGTTGTTTTCACAGTGCCCCTGTGCCAAAATACATACGTAACATTTCTGCATTAAGCAATTAGGTGCAAGCACCCCGCCCCCCAAAAAATAGCAATAGTTCATTCCAAGTCTGACAGATGTTGTTGTGTTTTCCTCAAAAGTTGAAAATATCTTGTAATACCCCAGTGAGTTAGCTATGGTACCCTTGGGGAACATTGGTACACAGTTTGGAAATAGAACATCGCCAGACACATAGTTGGTGCTAAGTACATGACATTTATCATTATTGTAAAATATATGGACAACCTGGGTATCAAAGAGGATGCTGATCTAGTAGTTTGAGACAGTTGTTGAATATCCCTGAAGAGGGATAACTTCTTTTTGGGGAGTAACCTCTTCTAGTCCCAGTATCTTCTAAGTCAACACCAACTCACCCGAGTCTAGAAGGGGAGATTTCTATGCACACAGATAAGAAATCTCGTTCTCAAAGCAGTACCATTTCCTAGCTTTACTACCCCCAATATTTTCCCAATTCCCTACCCTCGCTCATCAGCCAAAAGTCACTCTCTCAAGAGATACTTCTATATGTTAGATCAAATATACTTTCTTCTGTCTCTGCCTGGCCTCCCCTACTTTCCTATTCATTACCCTTCCTCCTGTCCTCTCTCCATGTCCCTCTTGGCCAGTATCTGAAACCTGGCTTCTGCCCCCATAAGATGATGAAGGGAGGCTGGTTACTCAGGAAAAGTGATTTGCTGAGCTCTGTTTTGAGTTCTCAGCTTGGCCTGTGAACCAGTAAGAACAGTGGGCACTGATAACTTATTCTTGCATATCTCCTTCCTCTTCCCTAAGGGAGCAGAGGAAAAAAATTAAACAGAAAGACTCTAGAACATGGCCTGTGAGCTTAGGTACCCTTCAGAGGCTGACAGGAGTGGAGGTGGAGACTATGCTGAGTTTAACTCTTAGTAATTGAGGTCCATGGGGGATTTTTAACATTTTCCTCAGAGGCTAGTACTGAATTCACTGAAGGGAAATCTGATGTTCAAGAAATGACAAGGAATGAAAGAGCAGACGATCCATGCACTGTTGACTCTTGGCCTCCTTGGTGCTGGCCGGCAGAGTCTGGGAGCAGCTGGCTGGCTTTTCAGCTCCAGCCAGCAGCATTTGCTTTGGCCACTAGGGAAAAGAGCACTTTGTGGAAAGCCAGCCTTCCCAGCCAACGACCTATTTTTGTCCTGAATCTGTTGAGTCCAGCCTGAAGGCTGCATCCAGTATCAACAGAAGCCATGGAAAATGGGACTAGATGTCTGGCAGCCAGAACTGTGGGCTTTGTCTTCCTGACCAGGGCATGAAGCCCTGAACCCATGAAGACACGAATGATGAGGAAGGAGGGTCTTTGTGGCATCAGGGCCAGAAAGAGCTAGCTGCAATTTGAGTGGTCATTGCAGCTCAGGACAAGTAGGAATGAATCACGAGGTCTCACCCCTTTTCAAGCTATCTGTTCCAAGAAGATGGATATGCGACTACAGTTGACACAGCTGCCAAAGTGCTCGAGGTCCCTTAAGTGGGGCCCTCCTCATACTGAGGGGTCACTAGATCACTGGATCAATAGCCTTACTAACCGAACAGATACAATGGGGACATAGAGAAGTATCTGTTACCATCCCTTTCCTCTGGAATGTGAAGGTTCCAGGTGTTTCTGGGGAAAACAGATAATTTTCACAAAGAGATACTTTTAGTACTGGACAGGGTAGAATAAGGATCATGTGAGTGGTACAAAGAAATGCTGAAGGAGTTTAGAGGCGGCCAAGAATCTTGACAAGAGGAATTTTGATTAGAGGTAGGTCCTGAAATGTGAATAGGAATCAGATAAAGATGTGGTGAGTATTCTCTTGTGCTCCTAAAGCAGAAAAATTCTTTGAAATTGACCTAACATACATCTTTGATTTACTGTAAGATCTTGTCCTCCAACCAGATTGTGTTCACACCAGGACACTCGTGGTTCTGCACTTGAGTGACCAGAGTTACAGAAGAACTTCTCAGACCAGAATAGAACTAGAGCGTTATCTGGATGCATGAATCATCTTTCTCAAGTCCTGCTTTTACCCTGTCACTCAGCTTTATCCTATCCTGAAACCCAAGAATTGCTCTTTCAATGCTTTCAGGATGACCAAGCAACTGTATTTGGTATCCAAGGCCTTTTATCGGTGAGGCAGCCCTCCTTTCCAGCTAGTCTCTCATTTATCTTGGAGACTCCAAGCAGTTCCCTACAGGGAAAATCTTATCCTCTGAAGCCCACGATAAGTGGTTTAAAGTTATCTGTGGACTCGGAGAACTTTGGCACCAGTCCCCTCCTTCCATTGGAGAATTTCAGATTCATTGTGAGATTTCTTCACTCCCATATGTATCATTCCAATTACATTTTTACTTGAATATTCTTATTGAAAATTGATTCTTTGTTCCTCTAGATCAGAGGTCAGAAAAATTATCCTGTAAAGGGCCACATTGTAAATATTTTAGGCTTTGAAAACTATAAGGACTTTGAAGCATCTACTCAGTTCTGCCATGGTGGCAGGAAAGATGCCATAGAAAATATGGAAAGGAATGACGTGGCCATGTTCCAATGAAACTTTATATTTGGGCTAGAATGTGAATTTTACATAATTTTTGCATGTTACAAAATATGTAATTGTTTTAACCATTAAAATGTAAAACCATTCTTAGCTTATGTGCTATAGAAAAATATGTGATGGTGTAGTGGCAGGAAGGCCACAGAGCAGGTTATCTATGATCCAGCAGATGGGTAAAGGAGAGTCTTGGAGCCCTCAGTGGCTTTCTCAGGCTTTTATTGAGCTTTACATGCATCGCAGCACATGGCAGGCAGGAGTGCCACGGGGCCAGGAGGCCAGTAAGCCTCCAAGTCCCGGCAGGTCTTCACTCTGGGCTTCTCTGGCTTCTTTCGCCCCTTCTCTCTCCTTCCTCTCTCCTGCTTCTCTCGGTGACTATCTCAATACTGCTCCCATGGCCCACAGAAGTAAACAAGATATTTTACAACAATGTAACAACTGCAGGTGCCCCATCAAGCCAGGTAATCCTAATGGTAGGAGGGCAGAAAAGGCTGAAAACCATTTTTCCCTACAGATGGGTTAGGTATGGTCTGCAAATCCTAGCTTGTCAACCTCTGCTCTAGAAGACAGAACCCAGACTATTGGGTAGACACACTTGGGGAGAGAGTCTGACTTAAATTTTAAAAAATTATCAGAATTCTAAGGAAAGGTAATAGATTTCCCAAGAAGTTGGAACCCATCTTTTTCACCAAATGTATGTAAGCATCACTGGTTAAGGATGTCATAGAAGGACTCAAAGGCCTTGTGGGGACTTGAATTTAATGCCTTGTAAGTGAATAGACCTGTGCTTTTTAGGGGGTCAGTTTTTCTTCTTACACATAGCCATCATTTCCCAATTACTGTCTTATTTTTGAAGCTCTGTGTGGTCTTCCAGCCTCCCTGCCTAATATTTAATGATACAGTCTCAATTTGCTCCCCAGTTTTTTCATGTATGTACATATTATTTCCCTTCCCCAAACCCAGAGGTTAACGTCAAAAGGGCAAAGTTCAACGGAGAGCAGCTTCACCGTTACCTAGCAACCATCAGGGGCTGTTGGGAATTACTGCAGAGGCCATTGTAGGAAGATGGTCTGTCCCAACAATTAGGGCAGAGTAAAGAGCAAATGAGAATACAGGTAAGTTCCCTCTATTAACGATAAAGCAGCTTGATTCTATTTAAAAGAATATAATAATTTTTACTTTACTAAAAGGAATTTAAATTTGCTTCAAGATTTTTTTTCCTCCCCTCCCTTCCACAATGGTCTGATCCTGCGGCTTAGAACAGCATCCCCTTTCTGCCAATCAGCCATTGTGGTCTGATTGTGTCTCACAGACGACCAGATCTGTTATGTTCTTACTCTCCCCTCTTCTTTCCATCCGTAGCCCAGAGTGCTTTGGTGGCGTCTGGTAGAAAAGCATCCCTGTTCAGTCTCTATGCATGTCCGTGGTTTGCTCTTGTCTGGAGAGCATCAGCATCTTTGCCCCTCCTTTCCCACACCCGTGATTTGATCCTGCGTCATTGAGCATTAGTTTCCTTTAGCTCCTCCCCCGGGGTCCATAGTGGTTTGATCCTACCGCACAGACTCTTAGGTTCTTTCTGATTCCCCCTCCAGCATCACCAACACAAATGGTATGGTCCTTAGCATCAGGTCCTTTTTGTACCCCCTGCTGGTCTCCTAAAGAGATTGAAGCAGCTTCATCTCATTCCTGATTCATCTTGATCCCTTCAGTGGCTTATTCTTGCATTAACAATGTAAAACTGGCCCAAATGGGCTTAAAGTGGTCAGAACTTCTTTTGACTAGTTCAAATCTTTTCTCATAAGGAAAAATAATTTCTGACCAGTTCCCTATTTTGACCAGTTTAAACTATTCCTGCAGAGCTAGAGCCTGAGGTCGGTAAATCCAGGAAGATGGCTGAAGATGAAGTTGATTCAAGCCAAAGCAAGCAATCAGGTACTCACAGAAATTGAAAGTGAGCTCAGGACTAGGACAGAAAACAGATAAAACGAGACAGGAAAATTCAGGAGCCAGGGTTGGTTGAGGAGAGGCTTAAAGGATATTAGTTGCACCCAAACCTGTTCTTTTCTTTTCTTTTCTTTTCTTTTCTTTTCTTTTTCTTTTCTTTTCTTTTCTTTTCTTTTCTTTTCTTTTCCTTTCTTTTCCTTTCTTTTCTTTTCTTTTTTGAGAGGTGAGAGCCATTTTGAGGAGGTAATGCAGGATTTTGGACTCTGCTTTGGTATGTTTGGAAAGCAGTATGGGAGCTGTTATTACCTAGCAGCCCCATCCTGCTGGAGATGAAACAGTTGTATGTGGCCCCAGTGATGCCTGGTTCTCCACACCAGCTCCTGGGGCCAGTCTTTGTGTCTAGCCTCATCCTAGGTCACAATTATTCCAGTTCCAAACCATGAATGACAAACTTCCCATCCTTTAATTGTGGATGGTCATGATGCTATTAGCTATTTAGGGCTAGAAGAAGGGATTGATGAACCTTGAAGAAAAGAGTTAATTGCAATAAGTAAGACACAAAGTGAATGGCTCAGTTAATTAGCATTGAGGACTTGCACTTTTTTTAGGGAGATGTATAAGAGAAGGTGGTAGGCTGATAACGGTATCTAATCTTTCACCTGTGGGACTGGTTATCTCCTTATTATTCTGGGCAGAAGTAGAAGTTGGCCTGTGTGTCTGGATTTCTCCCACGTGGTTGTCTTTCTGTCTTTTTGTGGTGACTGCAGTGGAAGAGTAGGAACTAAAAAACACGGGGATGAAAAAATGAAATGTTTATAAACATTAGTGCAAAATCTCTACAGTGGGACAGTGGGCAGCTTGAATGCTTTGATGGTGAGTGGAAGAATGCTGCAAGATAGAGGGTGGGGCTGGAGTTCTGGTTTTGTGCAGAATGTCTTGACATCTTTTCTGTAGCTGGATGAGGTTCTATAGCTACTTACCTGTAAGGTCAAAAAGGAAGGATTCTAGACTGGCATAACAACTTAGCTTCCTAGGAGGGATTTTGACTATTCTGACCTTTTTATGAGAGAATTTGGCTTAGGAGCCTATCATTTGAAAGATGTTTTTGAGGAAAATAAATGTAGTTAGCCACTGCCTATTTCTTAAGGGGAGCATGGTGGCCATTTTAGTCAAGGCAGTTGAATGGCACTTCCAATTTGAGGTAGGAAAAAAATCAGGCGATTTGAAATCATATAACCCAGCCTTTGAATCCTGGTTCTGCTATTTGCTATGTGGATGTTCAGCAAATTATCTAAGCTCCAAATAACTTGTTTTCCTCATTTGTAAAATAAAGTTAATATATTACCTAAAAACAAGAACCTCAGAGTCAAATGCCTTTTGGAGCAAAGAAGCTGCCATTCAACATTTTTGTTTGCTCAAACTAGATTGTGCGGCTGGGATTATTTTTGTATATATGTAGGGGAATATTAGATAATTTAGCTTCATAAAGACAATTTATTTTTCAATTTTCAGCAATGATGCCCCTGATGAAGCTGATACTCCTAAATGGAGCAAGGAGTAATTGTTAAAAGTACTTTATAAACTATAAAGCACAATGTAGAAAGAGAACCACTGTCAAGTTTGTAATAATATGTTGGTTATCATTAAAGTGACACTCTGAAAAGCCACAGCATTAAATGGCTCACAGTGTTGCAGACTCACAGATCTCTCTGGTTCCAGAGTCCGTTCTTATCCTCCTTCATCCTGGACCTGTGACCACTAGAAGCCCTGAGAAGCGGTATGCGGCATCATAAACTGCAGTTCCCCAACGGGGAGGATGGGAGATGGGGGCATCTTGTCAGAGATGTGAGTTATGTGTGTGTCCTGGCACTGAAATGGGGTGGGGTATGACAATATGTCCTTGAGCCACAGACGTCTTGAAATTACTTTATTGCAAGGCAAACCTGGAATGCTTCACTTGGATTCTGTCACGTTCCCCCAAAGTGGCACGATCAGGTAAAAGTACTCCAGGAAGGGCAATGATGTGTACCTTCATGAATGTGGAAGTTATTCTGCCATTTGTAAGTGAGGGGGATAGGAGTGAGGTCAGGCAGTAGAGCCTGAGCTTGAAAAAAAAAATGTAAATATATTTGTGGCCCTAATAGCTTCATTGGGAAGCTGTGTCCTGTATTCAGATTTGTTTTCTGGGAAATGTGGACTTTTTTGATGGAGTCATTTGACTCATAGATGCAAGTACGTGGTTGTAGGGTAAAGAAAATATCAGGCTTTTCTTCCCTTCCGCCATCAGGATAGATGATGGATCCTTGTCCTGAATGCATGCCTGATGGCGGGCACCTAGAATAGGGTGTGGGCATAGGTAGATGGGATTCAGCTGAGTTAAGATTGTGCTTTTAAGGGCGGCGTCATGGGACGCCAGCAGCAGCAGCAGCAGCAGCAGCAGCAGCAGCACCAGTAGCAGCAGTAGAAGCCGAAGCAGAAGCCGAAAGAGAAGCCGAGAAGCAGCAGAACGAACGCTAGAGAGCCCAGATAGAGTGAAGACTTGCTGGGGGCTGGGAGGCTGGCAGACCTGCCAGCCTCCCAGCCCCCAGCCAGCACCCCTGCCTGCCATATGCCTGGTGAACCCCAAATAAAAAACCTGCAAAACTACTGAGGACTCTGACTCCTCCTTTACCCGGTCTGCATGGGATCAGAAAACCTGCACTGTGCCCAGTCCGGCCTTTACAGTGGTAGTTACAGTATACCTTTGTTGCAGTAAGGCATGTGACAAAGATTTTTACTTTTATGACATCCTGGCAAGTAAGATGGCAGAAACATGAGCCAGAACATTGTTTCTTTAGTTAGATACTGAAATAGATTTTTTTAAAAGACAGTGACTCTGTTGAGCACCTACTATGTATTGGCTTTGTGCTAAGTATTTTATATGCATTAATTATTTTATTTTATTTTTTAAAAGATTTATTTATTTATACAAGAACCAGGGTACAGGCCAGATGTGTGGGAGGGTGAGAGGATTCACCAGAGACAGAGTGGGGAACAGAACAGGCATACCGACCAAAATACACTGCTGAGGGGAGCAGGAGAGGTCTGAGACAGGAGAGGTCTGCTCGCCATGTGGGTATCTCCTCAGCTGGCGGGGATCGAACTGCACTGCAGAGGCTGCGGACAGCTTCACAGTGCTGCGCTCAACTGCCTGCGCCACCAGGGAGGCCCAGCATTATTTTAAACCACACAAGAACCTTATGAGCTATGTGTCATTAGTTCCACCTTATACATGAGGAAGCTATTTGAAAAGGGTGCAAATTATTGATTGTATGTTTCTCTGGAGCAGAAAGTCTTAAGTGTATGTGTGAGAGGTATGTAGGAGGGGTAAGTGAACATTCTCTGAGGGTTTCTCAGTTATGGCAGCTGTAGTGCCAGGAAGGCATACAGCTGGTTCTCTATGATCCAAGCAGACGGGTAAAGGAGAGTCCTGGAGCCCTTGGTGCCTTTTTCAGGCTTTCATTGAGCTTTTACATGTAGTGCAGCAACCAGGTGTGGGGGGCAGGTGCAGGCAGGCAGGTGTCGGGGGGAGGGTTTGAAGGGGAGGCAGGAGGGGAATCTTCACTCTTTACTGGACTTTCCCCTTCTCTACAAGTTTCCTTGGTGAATATAAATACCACAGCTATGGCCAACAAAGTGAACAATACGCTGAATATAACAATGTAACAAAATCCAGGTGCCACCATCAGGCATGCATTCAGGCCAGCAGAGATCCATCAGCAATCCTAATGGCCGGGAGGGCAGAAAATCCTGACAATCATTTACCCACGAGCAGTTATCTTCTAAAAAGAGACAAAGACTTAGATGAGGGTTATTCCAAACCATGCAGGCCTTTACCCCCATTAAAGTACTCCTCTTTAGAAGACCTGCCTCTCCTTGGATATCTGATGTTTTATGAACTACTGGGATTTATGTGAATGGGTGGTAGGGTAGACCCTCAGGTATACTGGCGACAGGAAAGTGTTTGAACTTCACTGTTGCAGAGAGAGATCCTTGGCGCTAGTGCTCTGGACCTGGCTCTATCTTGGTTTCACCATTTTAATTAATGACTTGGTTGCAGATATAGAAAAACCTTCTGATCAAATATTGAGAGCTAGAGTGGGAGGGACGGATATGTACTGGAGGACAGGATCAAGAATCCAAGCAGAATTTTACTAGACTGCAAAGATGGTTCAAAAGCAACAAAATTTAGTTGATAAGAATAAATGTAAGATCAGGCCTCCCTGGTGGCACAGCGGGTTGAGAGCAGTGCTATGAAATTGTCCACAGCCTCTGCAGTGTGGGTTTGATCCCCCAGCCAGGGAGCAACCCACGTGGTGCAACAGACCTCTCCTGACACGCCCACTGCTCACCTCAGTAATGTATTTCAGTCAATCTGCCTGTTCTGCTCCCCGCTCTGTCTCTGGTGAATCCTCTCAACCTCCCGCTCCTCTGGCATGTACCCCAGCTCTTGTATAAATAAATAAATCTTTAAAATAAGAATAAATGTAAGATCTTGAATTAGTTCCATAAACTTAAAAAAAATTAACTGTACAGATTGGGTAGATGGTTAATATGACTGCCAAACATGTTAATGGGAACTCAGACTGCATTAATAGTATAGGGCCTAGAATGTGGGAATTGATTATTCTACCCTTTTCTGAGTTTGTAGAACCTTGTATTTTGCTCAGTTATGGCAGTTATCTTTCAAAAAGAGACAAAGACAAAATAGAGGTTAAAAATGGAAATCTGGAGGGCAGAGTGGGGCATGATTGCTATGTTTCTGTTTCTACAGGATTGTCATAAGAAAGAGGATCTTATCTTTATTATGTGACCCTAAGGGACAGAATTAGGCTTGTTGGGAAGTGTAGAGGAAGGAATGGGCACAGTGCAGGTTTTCTATGATTCCAGCAGACGAGGTGAAGGAGGAGAGTCCTGGAGCCCTCAGTGGCTTTTCAGGCTTTTATTGGGATTTACCAGGTACACAACAGGCAGGGGTGCTGGGGGGCTGGCAGGCCTCCAAGCCCCCAGCAAATCTTTACTCTATCTGGGCTCTCCGGCGTTCTCTGCTCTCTGCTCCTCTCGTGGTTCTGCTTCTCCCTCGGCTTCTCCTGCTCGTGCTCCTGTGATGCGGCCCTTAAAAGCCCAGTCTTAGTCCAGGTGAATCCCATCTATACATATGCCCACACCCTATTCCAGGTGCCCGCCATCAGGCATGCATTCAGTACCGCAGGATTCCCTCATCTATCCTAATGATGGGAGGGCAGAAAAGCCTGATACTATTTCACTTACCCTACAGGTTGAAACCACAGTAGGGTTGCTGGAGGGCTGTTAGAAGAGAATGAGAAGGCTGGGCCTGCGTAGCACAGGATGAGCCCAGAGCAGGTTCTCTATGACCGAGCAGACAGGTAAAGGCGGAGTCCTGGAGCCCTCGGTGGCTTTTTCAGGCTTTTATTGGGATTTACCAGGTGCATGGCAGGCAGGGGTGCCAGCCCCCGGCAAGTCTTCACTGTTTCCGGGCTCTCCAGCATTCTCTTGCGGCCTTGCTTCTCTCTTCCTGTTCTCTTTTGCTCTGCTGGCGTCAGTGACGCCGCCCTTATGAGCCCAGTCTCTCAGCCCAGGTGTACCTACCTACGTATGGCCACACTCCAGGTGCCCGCCATCAGGCATGCATTCAGGACCGCAGGGTTCCATCATCAATCCTAATGGCGGGAGGGCAGAAAAGCCTGATACTTTACTTACCCTACAGCCTGGATGTGGAGCACAGCTGTAGCAGCAGATGCTACACTGTGCCTATCAAGGAAGATACATAGGAAACAAATGTGAAATAAAACTGTTTCATGACTGGGCGGGGCGAGGAAAGGGAATGAGTTCCCTATCATAGGAAACATTTAAGCAGAAGCTAGCTGACTGTTAGGGAATAAGTGTTACTACAAAACTGCAAATGCTACCCTGAATGCGATAGTTCAGTGGGTTGAAACAATGGCCATGATCATTTATTGAATATCTTTACCTGGTTCAGGGAAAGGGTAGTTGTAAAGGCAGGACTGGACCACAGTGCAGGTTTTCTGATCCCATGCAGACTGGGTCAGAGTCCTCAGTGGTTTTGCAGGCTTTTATTGGGGTTCAGCGGGTATGTGGCAGGCAGGGGTGCTGGGAGGCTGGCAGTCCTCCCAGCCCCCAGCAAATCTTCACTCTATCTGGGCTCTCTGGCGTTCTCTGCTTCTGCTTCGGCTTCTCCTTTAGCTTCTGCTGCTGGCGTCCCCGTGACGCCGCCCTTAAAAAGCACAGTCTTAGCTCAGCTGAATCCCATCTACCTATGCCCACACCCTATTCTAGGTGCCCGCCATCAGGCATGCATTCAGGACAAGGATCCATCATCTATTCTGATGGCGGAAGGGCAGAAAAGCCTGATACTTTCTTTACCCTACAGTCCACCCCCTCAGGGTTTTCTGCCATACAGTCTATACATATATATACAATTTTCTAAGCAAACAAACAATGCAGCCATGGCCCACAAAAGCAAAAGCAAATACATCAAATATAACAAAATGCAATATAACAAAATACAACAGAACACAAATAAGTCCAGGCAGGGCACCAACCTAGTGCAAAAGACAATTATTGGTACCAGCAGATGAGCCACCAAATCTGCTGCCGAAGGCACTGCTCATACGAGGGAGGGGAATCACTCACGACATCTATTGCAACACGCCAGGAGCCGTCAGGCTTCCTGGCCTTCTCTGGCTGTAGTCTCGGCTACAAGCCACACACAGCATCCACCCCCTGGATGCACTCGCTCTGGGATTGGCAATTTTATTCTGTTGGGGGTAATCGCCAACCCTCAGGGTTTCTGTCTGCAGTCGCTCCAACACTTGGCTTTCATAGCCCCCAATGGGACTCGCAGACCCCT